GAATTTCTACAGCGTTATTGGACTTTGTCCATAGGTTAACTTCTTCCTAGGTAAGATATTATCATAGAGGTAAAATTGCTTAACTAAATTAAATAGATACATGTTCCATCATCAAATCAGAAAATAGCCAATTACTTAAGAGCAATTTATTTAAAATAGAGAAGGAATTTATGTAGGTCAGATCATCCTATACCACTCTGTTACTAACTCCCATTGCCACTGATCATTTTATTAGAATTTTTAATTAAGAATGGAGCTAAATTGTATCATTCTATAACTATTTGTTGTGCAGCAACTCTGGACAAGATATTGTGCTAAATTCAGGAGATACAGATGCGTGAAGGGGAGCAGGCAGCGCTGAGAGTCTGTGGGAAGGTCTGAAGGGGCTGGAGCCCGCTGGGGCCCATGACTCACAAGGTGTAACCAGCCAAAGACCCCTGTCAGGACAAAGCCCCACCCTGAGGGGAAGTTTACTCAGGATAGAAAAGGGGAAAAGGGAAGAAGAGATAGTCCAGTTAAAAGTGGGGTCACAGAGTCGGAAGATCACAGAAAGTGAGCCCCCACGTTGTTTGACACTGTGTCCCAAACTGAAGAAGAAACTCTAGTGCCATTAAGAGCTGTTCTGAATCCTTCTTCTTTCTAAGATTTCAGAACTAACTTCATATAAAGAGGAGCAACAGAAAGGGACGAATAAAATCCCAACAGAGAAGAAACAAGGTTAATTCTCACACAGAGTGTTTAAGGGGATAGAGAGAGTGAAAAACAGAATAGCATCTTGAGAGACAGTGAGAGCATGTCAGCCGGTCATGCTCACCAATCAGGTGAGAACCGAAATACCTCTTCCGAAGGGAACTAGGTTTTTAAGAAATTATGCAAATAAGAATAAATAACAACAGATACTGCCTTAAGAGAAATAGAAAGTGAAAAGAAACTTCTGAAAAATGAAAATAAAGTAAGATAAAGGATTCCAGAGAAGTTGACTGATCACAATATGAGCTGAAGCTACGAGCTATTATGGAACGTTGTAATTCTGTCATTCTCTGTGTTCCTGAGAACCAGTGTGGAAGAAAGGAGACACAGATGTAAAACAGCAAATATTAAGTAAAAGGCCTGTAGTTCTGAAGTACCTACCCTCTGAGCAAATTTCAAATATACAATATAGTATTGTTGACTGTATTTTTGATGCTTACTTTACATCTCCAGAATTTATCCATCATGCAAACCTGGAACTGTCTACCCATTTTGGAGAGGCTAAGACAGAAAGGTTAAACAGTCCAGTTGTACAGAGCTGAGCAGAAGGGTTCAAATGAGTATTTATTGCAACCATTTACAGTAATACGAGGGGATGCTTTGTGCCAAAGCCACAGAGGGGTGGGAGTGACTGAGGAAGGTCTTGCTTCTGCATCAAGGCTGACAACCCCCCCCCACTCAGCTTAAATCCAGCTTCCTGCCTACTGTGCGCTTGCAGCTAAGTGCTGGTGCAGAAAAGCAGGCAACCCTATTTCCTTGTAAGTGGATCATCGCCGACTCAGGTGGGCTGTCAGGGCTGCCCAGCACTAATCCCAACTCCCTCATCCCTCCCCTCTCCCTGTCTCGTTCATACAAAGCCTCCTTTGTCTGCTTCTGGGCCTCAGTACTCGGCCTTCCTTCCTCTTACCGAGGATGGCTGCGCTCGCTCCGGCCTAAGCCGAGCCCTCTTCTCTTCCCTTAGCTCCCGTTCCCCAACCTGCTCACCAGCATCATCAGTGTGCCCTCCTCTCCTCGCTCCTTCCCATTGGCTCACACACTGTTATTTTCCCGTTTTCAGAAAGTCCTCTACAGTCCCACAGCCCCTCCAGCTGCTATCCCATGTCTCTGCTGCCCTTGTCAGCCAAACTCCCAGAAACAAGCGTCCGTGCTCACCTTGGAATCTGTCTCCCCCAGTTTCCTCTTGACTCCGTTTCCATGACTCTACTGAAATGGCTCCCGTCAAGACAGCAGTGGCGTCTGCATTTCTAACTCCAGCCGGTGTTCGGCGACTGGCTTATCTGCAGCCTTTGACACAATGTGTCATGACACACACATCCTCCTTGAGATATTTTGTTTCCTTGGCTTCCAGGACACCCACCTTCTTCTCATTTTCTACCTGCCTCACAGGCTGCTGCTTCTCAGTCTCCTTTCGTCCTGGCTCCTTCTCGTCCTCCCCACAAAGGTTAGATAATCTCACCCAGTGTCATGGCTACTGAGACAACACAGAGTCACACTGTCAAACCAGACTTGCAAGGATCATACCTATAACCTAGC